CAGCGTGTTCATTTCACATGGATATTTCCAAGCATTGGATGTTCGCACGCAGTCATGATTGGTTCTGTGACATGGCTTGCGCATGTACTCACTCCACTCATGCACCGTACGCAGGCCTCAAGGATTCCTCGGGCACTTACCTCAGCCGACGAACAGCCGAATATCCCAAAGAATTGGCGCAACAAATCGCATCACATTTGAGCTCCCGCATTGGGCCCAAGATTCTCCAGTTGACTTTAACCTCAGCCCTAGCCATGATCCCCGTTAAGCCCTTACAGGTAGCCCCACACGCCCTCCATGATGGAGGCGGTAAAGGTAGTAAACCAGATTGGAGCGCACCTCCCAATACTGAGATACTGAGGACGTGTTGAAACCACTCAGGGCTAGCTGGATCAATCTGATCCTTGAACAAGGCCTCCATAAAGCCTTCTTGGCCCATGTGGAACAAGCCCAATCCACTCCGCCTTTCTCGGATGAGTGCATCGATCAGTTTCGGACCTCTCTTTCTGCTTGGCTTCCAATGGATTGGCCCATCCGAGATGACCAACCCATGCATCTTGCGGCCATGCAAGCCCTGAGCCACCGGCTTCATGATCCCGATAGTGAGGTCTTCACTAGCCTAATCGCAGGAGTCTCAGCCGGCACGGCAGATGACCCCATTTTACCCAGTCGAGTGTTTTGGGAGAAAGATTCGGTAGCTGACCATGATCTTCCCGCCCTCCAACTTCACAGAGGTAATTGGAAATCTAGTGAGGATCATCCAGAATTAACAGAAGAGCTCATTCAGAACGAAATTGATCAAGGGTGGATTTTCCAGTTTGCTGGGGACGAAGCAGAAGCTCAGAAGCAATACCCTCATGGAATCGGCCTCGGTAAATTGGGCATCGCTTTCTCAGAGTCTCGACCTCCTAGACTGGTTTTAGACAGTAGCATCTGTAAGACCAATCAAAATTGTTGGATTCCTGAACGCCAGTGCTACCCATCCGCTCGAGATGTTGTTGAGTCGTTTCCCCTTCGCCATTGCACGGAACCTCAGCATGCAGCCACGTTTGACGTGAAGTCAGCTCACAAACGCATCGTTCTTGCTCCACGACACCAAGGCCTAGTAGGACTCACCTTCAAAGGCACTATCTACTTCTATCGGGTTTGTCCTTTTGGGGCCACATTCAGTGCATTTTGGTGGGGCAGATTAGGAGCTTGGCTAGTGCGCGTTTTTCACCGCCTGATTTGGGTCCAACATGGCCTGTGGTTGTTCGTTGACGACTTCTTGTTGACTCAAAGCTCCTGGCGATTTTTTGTCAGGTTTTTCGCATTCCTCTCAGTTGGCGCAAGTGTACCCTAGGTCCAATGGTTGATTGGATTGGATGGCGCTTTAATTTCTTCAACGGAATCGTTTCATTGCACCCAGACAAGCACCACAAACTGATTGCGTTGATTCACGACTTGCTTGCTCATCGTCATTGCACTTGCAAACAACTGGAAAGGTTCACAGGTTTGGCGCTGTGGGTCACCCATCTCTTTTTGCCTTTTCGTTCCGCGCTCCATTGGCTGTTCTCAGACTTGTATTGCTGTCCTGCAACTCACTACAGTGTCAACCCAGGATCTTGGACAGTGGTTAAATCGTGTCTAGCCGACGACCTGACATTCGTGTGTACACCCACAGGCACAGCAATCCCAAAGGGATCCAAGCTCATTTCGATCAGGCATCATTCGGTGCAAACCTTGCAGGAGGTAGAATCAGTTCGCTTGACGGACCGTAGACTGTGGCTTCGGATTGTGAACCCAAACTCCCAACAGCGCAAGCTGTCCACTCACAGTCGAAGAGTCCTTAAGCTGTGGTTGCAATGGCTCACAACATGCCCCCCACTCCGCACCATGCGCCCGCCGGCCCAGGTGTTAGTTAAAGCATCAGCAGACGCCTCAGCCCGAGGGGAGTTTTTCCAGATCGGTGGATTAATTGAAGCGGGTACCTCCACCCATTGGTTTGCTGAAAAGTGGTCAGTGGCCGATATCACCAAATTCGACATTGCAGTTCGTTCAGACGCCCAAAAAGACATTGCTTGTTATGAAACTCTCGCCCAAGGATTTATAATCTTGCTTTGTTTGGAACTCTGCCCAAATGTTTGTGTTCCTTTGCACTTTCACAGCTTGAGTGATAATGCGGCCGCCGAAGCTGCTGGAAACAAATTGTTCACAACCACCGCTCCATTGTGCTTCTTTGTTGAAAAACTGGCCTCTATCCTAGTGTCTGAGCGCATTAGTTGTGACATATCTCACATACCAGGCCCTTTGAACACTGATGCTGATTTGCTAAGTCGATGGGACTTGACTTCCGAGTTGCCTTCCAAGTTTGATGCCGCGCATAGGCATCCAATGAGCCTGCATGCATTCTTTCGGTCTCACCGCCGACTCACTCTTCACCCCTCGGATTTTCAGCTCCAATGGCCTCTGGGCCCTAGCTAAAGCATTTTTCGCTGCCAACTTCCACTCAGTGCCTATGGGTTTTTCTGATCCGAGTGTTTTTGGAATGCGAACTGGTGAAAGATCCCAACAACTCTCTCATCCTTGGCAGTGAAAAATGCT